GCTTTTCTATCAGATTTTAAAGAAAATCTAACACCAAGATGTATGTTAATTTGCATGTATGTTTTTATTGTACATGGCTACCATTGCTGCCAGTATTTGTAAGGATAATTAGAAATAGTTTAATTTACATCCGTGCACATGGTTAATGTATATTGGTGTCCTTTTTCTTTCTGTTTATTTATTGCAAAATCCACCGTGCACAGGTTTATGTGACTTCATCTCTACTAGAAAATAAAACACGACTGTAGCATACAGTCAACACTGGCTACAGTTTTCTACACTGCATGTGTGTGTTCTCCCTGGCTATGTTTTGACTTCTGCCAAATTGTCTATACTGTGTGTTGGTGTACTCTGTCTTGATTTTGGCCAATATCAGTTATCACTCTCTTAAACAATTCCTCAGGCCAAATCAGATGATATGTGTCATGTACTGTCCCAGTTAGGCAGTTTGGGTTGTAGTCATCATGTTTTCAAGGAAGGGAAATTTAGTAGTGTGGATGGGAGTTTTTTGTGTTGTTTTGGTGGAGAAAGTCCTCCACTCTGCTTTATTTTAGCATAGACATGTCTTGTGAGACTGGAATTGTAAGACAAATAGTCTGTTCTTTGGTTTAAAGAAGTTAAAAATACCTTCCAGAATTTTGAGTAACAAGATGGGAAAGAACAAAAGCAAAGAAAAGTCCTGAGAAGAGAATGGGACCACAACATGTTAAGTCAGAGAGGATAGAGAGGAGAGGTCAAATAAAAGAGATTAATGTTTAACACATTTCACTACAAAATCTGAAATTGAGTTCAGTAGTGTCTTGTTTTTGGCATGTATCTAATGTTGAATCTCCTCTAAATTACCCACAGGCTTTTATTTTTCTTGGCTCATTAGCTACTGAGCATCTACATTATGAATTTAAGGGTCCAAATGAAGGACTAAATGGAAACTATCCTATAATGAGCCATGTAAATTCGTGGGTTTTCCTAAAAATTTATTTTAAAATTTCCTTCTTTAAAATGAATTTGCAAGATCAAATACTAGAAAGTCAGAAATACACAGGCTGTTGTCTCTTGAATGTTAGCTTTGTGTTGTCATCTGTGTTGGAAGATGTGCATGGAATGAGTTGAGGGTTTACAGGAAGGAAAGGGTAATCTCAGTATCTAGTGGTGAATGATCCTTGCCCTGAAATAGAGATGCAAGATAATCCTAGATGTCATATACATAAACTAACACCAAATTAACACTGCTGATCAGGAATTGCATGCATCTTATCTTCTACTGTGAAATGGTGATGTGTTAAAATGCTGAACATTCAAAGCTGAGGCTAAAGCTGGTCAATAAAATACTTCGAACAGATAAATTTTTTACAAATACTTAGAAAAATCATTTAAGCATTTCAAATTACTAAAACGGAATTAATTGTCCCTAAGTCTTTGTGCGCCTCCATTCTTGCTCTGTAGAATGAAGATACTTTTGGCAGGTTGTGAAACTAATTTAATTTGTATGAATGTACCTAAATATTGTACTGCTTACTAGCATAAAAAAACCTCATGAGTATTTTATAATACTGTTTTTAGGAGTAAATTAAATTTGTGTTCATGAAGTAATGTGACAGATCATGCTTTAAATAAATATAAAAAAATAAATATCTGTACACTGTAAGCTCTCAAGGCCATATCACTATTAAAAAAAGTTTTAAAAAAATATCCAGTTATAGTGTGTCATACTACCAAAGTTTAAAATCTTGTCTTGTGTCTATAGACTGAACATATCTGTTTTCCACTTCAAGTCATTGAAATTTTCACTGTATCTGTCTGTAAGATTTGGTCTTCTTCTGCCAAGGAAGATAATTTAAAACAGCTTGATAATCCCTGAAAAGTGCTTACAAAAAGCTAAATATATTTAACTCTTGGCATCTGTTTCACTACTACACAAATCTCTCAAGCTATTTGGCATTCTTGTGGCTCTTGCCTGCTGCCTCTCCAATTTATTTGCATCATTTTCAAAATGAGTGCATCAGAACTAGCGGTATTGTTTAGTGTATGGATCACTGCCAAATACAGAAATATTTTATAGTCTCTCTGCTCCTTCTTAATAGTCGCCTGATGATGTAGGATTGCACTGGTGGTTTTGGGTTTGGCGTTATACAGGAACATAGTTTTTTTTCTCATACTCAGGATGACTTATATTTGGTTTTTTTGCAAGACCACCTCTTGCCACATAGTGCTTCTCTCTGTCAGTTTCAACTGTTTTCATTGTTACAAGGATGACCTTAAATGACCTTGACTTTGAATGGTTGTATGCTTAGAATTTGTCCTGTTCATCATTACCTTATCGTAAGTGTTGTCCTTTGCAAATATTAGTATCAGTAATTTAGATTTTTTTTGATCACTGATTTTTTTTTAATAACCAAAGTACCGTCACTATCCCACAAGAATCATATCCACTAAATAATAGATTTATCTCAATTATATTTTGTTTTGAAAACTTTTAGCTAGCTAATTTATATGTGCTTAAAATACACTGTGTTATTTTGAATAGTTCTGTGTTTTTCATCAAGTTTTTGTGAGGTGTCAGATCACTGCCTTATAAGGGTTATTACAACACTGGTAGTCTGTCATCGAGATTAGAAGTTTCATAGCAAGTATTCATGTAATTTGAAAAAGTGTTTTCCATAACACTTTTCTCCTTTAAAATTACTTCTCTTTAAATCCTTAAGAACTGGTTTTACTGTTATTCCATAATGGAATGGATGGCTCATTGCCAGATTTATTATCATTTGACCTTATAGCATTGTAGTATAATGAAGTTCCATGGCTCTATTTATGTTTTCAATATTGAACCAGTATTAGCTTTCTTCTAATCTTCTGGAATTGTACACTGTTCAATTTTTAAATATTCAAAATCAATTACAAAAATCTATCTGTAGAAAATTAAATATGATGTTTAGTGTTGTATGACATCTAGTCATAGTCATAGCAAATGATACATGATCATAGGATTGAAATAAGTTTCTGTAAATGATCTTGATTATGATATTTGATTATTCTCAGCTTTTGGCATTTTGTTTTGCAATATGAACATCATTAAAAGTAGGAAGTTTTTGCATTTTTGAAATGTAGCTCTAATTAAAAAAACTGTTATGTAGGAAACATTTAGGTACATGTTTAATACCTTCTTTCAAGGTGTCCTTTAATAGGAATATTTAAAGCTCTATAATAAGCAACTCTATGAACTATGAAAATACAAATATCAAGATTATTCTAATATGTTATGCAAATAGATTGCTTTGTAGGGCTACAAATTCAATTATATCATCAGTATTATCATTTGAAATGTACCTATCTGCCATATAAAAATACACGTTAGTTACAGCTGAATGTATAAGATGCCAATAAATACTTTGCTTGTCTTTTATACAATGGCTAAAGCTGCCCATGTAGTAGTGTATTTGTGTTTGTTGTCCAATAATGCTAAAGCAACCTAAACTGTCAAAATATTTATTCCATTATCCCTATGTGATGGAATATAGTGGGATAATCTGTTTACAGGGTGTAAGTATAGGTGGAGAGAAACATTAATTAAACAAGCAGAGAGGATTTGTGTGATAGAAAATTACTCTTGGGAATGAGTCACTGAATTTAAAGGTAGAGACATATTCCAACACAGATTGGATCTGAACTTTCCTAATGCATATGACAATTTTGATCAAAAGTTTTGATGCAGTTCAAAATGAAGAAAAGAACATATGAAACAATTTGAATTAGCACAGATTTCAATAAAGCTGGACTGTATAATCTGAAGTTAACTCATATAAACATTTCTATATAAGTCAGGTACCATGTGTCATAATATAATAGTTTTTCATTTTGAGAACAAACTGGTGTTATATAATGTTCATGGAAACAGAAGAGAGAAATTTTGAAAATTATATATAAAAGTATTCTTAATATTTTTTACCGTATTCATTAGTTTTATCCTCCTAATATGATACTGAAATTTATGATTTATTGTATTCCTCTTTCCCCTGAGTCAATATCAACATATGTCTAGTAAGGTGAGTGTTAGGAAAAAAAAACTGAAAATAACTTGTTAATATAAGATTATGGGCTTGACTATTGAAATCAAAATTTAAATTTATCTGAATTAGTGAAATCATAAAATACCCAATCAGAAAGTATACATATAGGAGTAATCTCATATATAATTTCTGATGTACAAAAAAAAAAAAAAAAATTATCTTACATGTTCAGGAATTACCCTTCTAGGTGGTGAAAGAGGGTATTCTATGCAGTATGTACAGCATGTTGCAGAGAAGTTCCCCTCAACTCTATAATTATTGTCAACAGATGAAGTGCTATTGTTATGTTGTCAGGCACCAAGATTTGCACATTAATGAAATGTCAAATTCAGCATCCTGTTAAACATATGATAGGTTGCTGTAGAAAATATTGATAAATGTTTATCTTCTTTATGCACTTAAACATGAAATGCAAGAAAATAACCATTTGAATCAGATTATTACTAAGAGCCTTTTGGCATATGCTGCAAAAATTGGTATAGGTCTGAAGATATGCATTCGAAAACATGGTTAATTGTAAATGAAAAATGAGAATAAACATCATGTGCATACATGATATCAGTTGAAGAAGGTAAATCAGCTATGAAAATGTGCATCTCAAAGCTCTTCATATAGTTTTCTCATAAAAATGTTTGTCAAAACACAGAAAAAGCAGGTAATAATTTCTGTTTAGGAAAAATATCACTTCAGCAATAGAAAAACATACTAAAAGTCTGCATGTGCAATTCACACACAAGTTCTGCTCTTTATGGTAAGGAATTAAATAAGTACCTATAAGTCAGTGTTGAATGATACTTCAGAACTGAACTTGATCACTCAAATTTTAGGGTACCTTTGAGAATTAGTTTTTTAAAAGTAGAAGCAGTTTAAAAACATCTATGCTTATTCAGATATCGTATTTTCACCTAAATTTATTTTTTCTACAATTTTTTAAAGCACAGAACTGTTACACTTCGTAGACAACCAGTTGGTGGCTTGGGCTTAAGCATAAAGGTATGGATAACTTCTCATTTCTTCATTTAATTTTTAGTACCACTAGTTCACTCCAGTCTTAATTGAGATCTCATACTTAATTTGCATCTTTTGCAGGGTGGTGCCGAGCACAAAGTGCCTGTCGTCATATCAAAAATATTTAAAGACCAAGCAGGTAACATATATTTATGTTATTTACTTACATAGTACTGTAATATATGTGTTTTGTTTGTTTGTTTGTTTTTTAAATTAGATGCTCTTTAAACTGAGAATTAAGACATATGTAAGGCTCATTCTTTCAGCCTCTCACTATCTTTAAGCCTTTCTATAAATGTCCAAATGTTCCATGTGTCTTTGTGTTTAATTTAAAATCTATCATCTTTTCAAGTCTTTAGGACCTGTACTTGAAATTTTACTGATAAGTATTAGTGTCAGAAAACATATTTTTTACTGCAGTAAGACAATTGTGTAGTAAACAAAATATTAAAAATTACTTGTTAAAAGAAAACTATGACAGGGGAAATCTGTTGATGTGATTAATAACTCAGAGGATAAAAAAATATAAGCCAGACATATTTTTTTTCCCACACAGTAAATCACTGCTCTATGGCAAGACTAGCTGTGTCTAGCTACAAACAGACGGTGATTGTAATGTTTATGATGTTGATGATAACACAAGGTCTAAATCAGTGTAGTCTAACTTGGCTCAGTATTGCATTAATATTTATCTAGAAAAAGGAACCTTTGGGGGACTGTGTCAGACCTGGAACTGATCTTGGCAAATTGGAGAACTGCTCTGTAAAACAAAGGGTCCCCTCAGTAAGGAAAAGAAAAACCATTGTACGTGGGTGGGCAGTGTTTTGCAAGGTGAACTAAGGGTCTTAGCTGATGAAAATCAAAGTCTTATTTTCTTCTCTGGTGGACATGGATATGGGGGCTAATTTGTTCTTTTCTTTGCTGAGGCATTCTTTTACATATTTGAAGATCTGTCATGTTTCTATGATAAGCTTCTATGTGTTTCCTCTCTTCTCTAGAAGAAAGCTACCTATGTCACGTAACCTTTCCTGCAAGAAAAGACAGAGCACTGCACTGTGACCCTCCGTGCATGTCCTGCTCCTTAGAGAGTTCAGACCCACTGACATGATCTTTTGAACTCACCAGCCTCTCTTTCTGCTTTGCTGCAGTGGAGATGAAACACATTTGTTTGGCCTCATGTTGAGCCTTGTGCTTTACTAGATTGCAGGCAGTGCTTGTTTTCCTCCTCTGCGTTTTCTTCAGTGGGTCCTTATTTTGCTTGAAATGTAATACCCAAACTTGGTAACCCATTTTCAGCTGATATCTAGTGAATATTGAATGGACTGGCTATGCCAGTATCCTGTCGGAAAGACAGCTTCAAGTTTCCTGTGCACAGTACTTACACGTATTTCGAGTATGATAGTTCTTTTTATGATACTGTTTATGGAGTGAGGAAGATAAGGTGTTTGTATGTCAATTGTATTATTGTATATGGAACAATGATAGGCTTTCTGAATACACAGCATAATAAACCATACTAAGAAAACAAACAAACAAACAAACAATAATAATAATAATAACAGTAATAATAGTAATAGTAATAGTAATAATAATAATAATAAATATAAGCATATAGGTCTAAGGAAAGTAATTCAGGAAATTAAACACCAACAAGGAAAGCTCTCTCCTGCCCTCTTAGGACGTAGTACTTTTAATCAAGGTTAGTAGTGAGTTTGTATACAAAATACTTATATTCAGTATTTCGTACATTGTAGGTAGTTCTTCATGAACTGCATTTATTTGTAGATTAACAAGTGCAACAACAATTTTATGGGGTTGGCTGTTTACCTGAAATCTGAAAATCTCTTCTTAGAAGGTACTTGTTTTAAGATCTTGTAGCCTCTTGTCCAAGGAAGCTCCAGAGTGAGTAGCGGTTCTAATCAGAGGCAGTATCACCTCTGTACCACCCCCACTGCTGTGCCACAGTAAGCCCACAGGCAGTGGTCCTGGACGAATCACTGAACGGCATGAGGACACTGACACACCCGACAAGGTACGAAGAAAGTAGTCTATATAGTATCAGTTGCACCACTGGTGTGAAGAAGAGAATCCCAGCCCTACTTTCAGCGTGGGTTGGGACTGGGTCAGGGGAACTCCCGAGGTCCCTTGAAGCCTGAGGGATTCTGCAATTGAGTTAGCACTGCAGATGCTAAGAATCAGAGATAGGTGATGTGAATGCTTTTTGTGGCACGTTACTTCCCACGCTCCCATTTTGGTTACTGAGTGTCTGTGCAACAGAAAAACGTGTGGAGTTTTGTGTTTATTTATTTCTTTTGGAAATTCAGATTTCTAAAAAGCTTCAAAAGATTTTGAGAAAATTTTTGGAAATCCAGAACCTTCTTGTACTGCAAATATTTTTTTATTATATGATCTCAAAAATCTCAGTATTGCTGTTACTCAGTCTAGAAAAAAGATAATAACAAAGGCTACTCACAGCGCTACTTCAATAATATCATATTTAATTTGTAATTAATAGTAATTAAGAGAATACGTTCAAGTTTAACTCACAAATGTCCTTGAGGTCATTTTTCTGTTTTAAGATTCTAGTATTTTAATGTTAGAGGAAACAATCTGGTAATATTATTTAAGCGAAAATAACAACAGTGTTCTAAAAATAAGTGCATTCTTTCTCCCTATACATATATATATGAACACATATGCATACTTAAATATATATATTTACGTATAAAAGGATATGTGGAAAAATATTTGTGTTTGGATATAATGAGAAGAAATGTTAAGCATGAGAGAGAGATGAGACTCATACAGATTTATCTCAAACTAAATTTTGGACTGAGCATCTGTATGCTCATAATGTGAATAAATCACCAGTAGATTTCCATCATACAAGGTACTAATAATGGTGAAACTGATAGGCTATCTTCAAAGGTGGCTTCAAGTTAAGCAGTGAACTTAGTTGCTGCTTCAAGCTAATATAGTGAATTTAAAATAAAAAACAAAAAAGTTTTATCATGCAGTAACGTTTGAAAACACATCAGTTACCTGATAAAAAAAGGCAATTCTTATCAGGAATTATGCTGAGAGATTTTATTCTTTGGGGTCCTTGAATAAAATATCTGAATTTATTGAGTAAAATTCTCCTTACTGACAAAATTACTGATTTCCTAAAATGTCTGATAACTTGTGATACTTTTTGTAAAATTTAACGCCCATTATATGACAGCACTTCAAATTCATATTCCTAACCTTAATTTGGATAACAGTACTATTTTATAGTTCCAAAGTTAGAAGTATAATAGAATAAAGCAATTGCTTCTTTTTTTATATCCGTACAAACTTCGTGTATCCTAAATAATTTCAGCTATATTTGTACTCTTTACATTTTTCAAATATAGAAGTGATTTTGTTGATATTGACCTAAGCAGGAGCTGAAGGCAACAGCACTTCAGTTGTTGAGATAGGGTGAACATTTCAATTGGATTTTATTTCATTATTCAACACAAGCACGTCTGTAGCAACACTGGTAATAAATACTATTCTTACATTTTTGACTGGCTTAGAGACTTCTCTGCTGTGATTACTGTGTTTATAACTTTCAAATTAAGTTATCCTAGATCACTATTCAATAAGACTTGCCTGAACAAGTTCACTGAAACGTACACAGAAACTCAGTTCAAGAGCATAGCTTTACACTTCTGAAAGACAAGATTAAGTGATCGTTCAGTGCTGGAGACAAATGTCCAATGTAGTACAAATCAGAGTAAAAAATGTCCTGCGTTCTTGAGCACATGCCCTCCTCAACACTATTAAGAGCAAGCAAGTTTTGCTGACGCCAATGACTTACCACTGAGTTTAGGCATTTTACATTTTTCTGTGTAGTCTATCTTCCATTCTAACAAAGGTTACGTTTTTTTCATACCACCAAAGCTTCTGCTAGAATTAATTTCAGAGGGCCAAAAATCCTATGCCAGAGAGAATGCAAATACATTTATAAATTCAAAAGTAAAATGATATGATTAGCTAGAGAGTGATTTTAATACTATAAGTAGTTATTTCACTTCCAAAACAAGGATTTTTTCCTCCTACCCATATATCAAAACATCCAGTAGACTCAGCATATTAGCAACATTGCTAATAATCTCCCAGATTATGAAAAGATACTACTGATGTTGAATCTTCTCAGTAAGATTTTCTAAGACTGATTCGTGCTTTCTCTAATCTTGTTTTTGGTTTTGTCTGGTTTGTTTTTTTTTAATGTAATTTAATACAGTAGTGCTTCTGTCTTCCTTTTAGAATGGGCTTAAGATGGAGTAAATCATTGTATAATAGTTGGTGATCTGCTAATAACTTCTAGCTTTGTATTATTTTTATACATGTTATAATTAGTATTAACATTTAATTTATGGTAAAGACTGCAGTAGGTTTACAGTCAAATAGATGGAGAGTCCCGTTCTCAAAGATGTGAAACTGAATATCCTGAACTTTGAAAGGAGTCAGATCTTTCAGGCTTACTTGTGCAGTGAATCTGTAAGGTATTTTGTCATATACATTAAATATACTGTAAAGAATCCTTATACACAATATATGGGTAAAGTGTTGAACTTTAATGTGCTTACATCTTTCTTTTATTTGTTATTCCTATTTTTATTTACTAAAGAGTCTTTATGAACTTGTGGAATCTAAAAAGTGGGGATTGTAAAAGCGAATGGACTTTGAAATCTATTATCATACGTACAAGTGACTTGCTGCATGTAGAATTGGAAATTTTAATTGTATAAATATAAAGAAACCAAATTTCGTTGTTGTGTTGCAGAACTATCAAGTTAGCAATCACATTTTGCTACCTTGATGCAATTTACCATTTTTGTAAAACCTGCTATAATAATCTGGCTACTGCTGTGAGCTCTGCTGGTATCTCATAAAATGTGTAGAGTTAGACAAGCAGTAAAGGTGAAACAGAACAGTGAATTCAGCTCACTGAGCCGTGAATAAAATAGTTAAGTAAAATTAAATAAAACCTAGCAGAATAAGGATAACTTGCTTTTTGCCAGTTTCAAAAAAGATCCTCTCTTAAGAGCCAAAATTAGTTAAAACCTTAATTTGAAAGCATTTTCCCACCTTCTGTGATAAGAGGTAACT